ATTTTTGGCATACTTGGGCATACTTTTCTTCCTGTCGTCCTTCCTTATGGCTTCTTGGCAGTCACTGATCCACTGAGAGTATTTAATGAGGCTTTGGTGAACATTAGATATATCAACCAAAGGGCTAGATGCATCTAAAAATGTTGCTGTTTTTCCCCCTTCTTTTTGTCCTCCACTTGTCCTGTTTTCTCACATTTTTAAGGACACAATGAACACCATGCTGAGGTATATTTTCAGGATTTTGCCAATAGCTCTTCATGGGAATCAACTTGTTGGTGCACAAATACAGTTTTATGCCCGTCAAACTATGTTGTCTTTGGCATTTTCCATAGATTCCTTGAAATGCATTGGAACACACTTTTTTTTGTAACAACCTTCTAGTAACAAAGTGCAATACAATTTAAAACTGGTTATTTGCTAAGTTGTTTGTTATGTATAGACACAAAGTATTCATCCCTTGGTTGTTGTGATGTGGTGCTATATAAATAAAATTGAATTGAATTGAATTGAGTTGGGTACCTTTTTATGCTTGAATTCACAGGTCAAGAAATAACAAAAATATTCCTTTGAAAATGGTCAACGAGGACTGGACTGAAAATGAGTGAAAAAGCAGCCAATGTCAAAGAAAACTTTAAAAGATCTTCAGAAAACCCAGAGAACTACTTTTAAAGATCCCTTTAAAAATGTATGCATCTTTGGGTGTAAATTATTTTGAAACAGGAGGTGGCTCAAGCCTTTTGTAGTATTGTAGAATATTATAGAGAATTTCTTTGTAAAACTAATTCAACGCTGAAGGTGTCATCACAAGGGTTAAGAAAAAAAAAATCAGATTTGGAGTTGCAGTTCATCTAGTGACCAATAGGTCGCACTAGAACACCACAGAAAGCAAGTGATGGGGCACTATGAAGCAACATGAATAGCTGGATTCCGGTTTGATTGATAAACCATCTGAACAAAGATTGAAAATGTGGACTCAGGTAAAGGTTCTGAAGAAGAAAGCATATTTTTAAATGACCAATTATCATCAGATTTACACTTTTTAAAAATACACTTTCAACTGAACAACCAGACACAACAGGCTCAAGGTTTCCTCCAAAGTAACATAAGAAAACAACATTATTCAGCCGGTAGGTTCGCTTCTGTTTTGGGATACTCACTGCTGGCAACATGGTTTAGTCCAGAAAAATGTCAAACAAATCATAACAATGTTCAGACATGAGTAATGTTTTAAGTAATAATTAAGCAGGAATTGTTGCATTTTTTTTAGGAGACAGGAAACATAAAAAATTGCATCTTTCATCAAAAGACACAAGTTCGCATTCCCTCAAACATATCCACCAGTCCTTTATACCTCCCAGGATCTGGCAAATGGAAGTAGATCATCATTTCATGGAAAACAGGGTGCTCTGTCTGGTGTCTTGTAGTCCTAAATGAATTGCAGTAGCTCATGAGGTGTGTGTACTGTGCACCTGACTGGCAGTGATGGGGACAGTAAGTAGGACGGTAGCAGAGCAGAAAAGGCCTGGGACTGAACAGGATCAGGACAGAGGAGGAAGAGGTTTTAGCAGCGAATCTGGGGAAGAAGAAGAGGTGGAGGAGGAGGTTTATAGCTTCAGAGACTGGAGAAATGGGGCTTAGAAGTTAGCAGAGTTTGGTATTCGTGACTGTGGGGCTCACTCAGCAGGAGTTATAGTCCCACTGAGACCTCAGACAGTCTAATTCATGCCCATATAAATGGCTGTATTCATTGCATGCTTTTCTGGTTGGGAGATGTACACTTTTAGTGTGTTCTGCATATTAAACATTACTGCATGTAAAAGATCAGAATTGCAGTGAGATTAACAGTAAAAATAAAAAGAGCGTATATAAATCACAAAATAAACAACACGCCACACTGAAGGCTGAAGAGCAGAGTAGTAAAACAGACACTCTAATTCCTTATGTGGTGATAACTGAGTGTTGCATTGTAACACGATCAATAGCCTGTGTGAATTATGCATCAGCTGCCCCATCACATTATGCATTGCTGTTGTCAGGCTTGTGATTCATTCTAGTCCGTTTTTCAATTTACAGAAACTCCGGCAGAGGCAACGTATCGATTTCATTTTCCAGCTAATTTTGATCAAGCCGTTCATTATTCTGATGTTGGGTCAGCGAGGACGTCTTTCTCAGGGATTACATGTTTATCACGCAGCGCAATAACAAACAAAAGTGAGATTAGGTTGTGACGTCCGAGTGTATATTTGCATATGTGTAGCTGCCTGCGTGTGTAGGTGCATATAGTATATACAGTACTTCTGTCCCTCAGATGAGCTGCAGCAAACATCAAAGAACCAGTTCAGAAACCGGCTTTGTTTCATAGACATTTCCCTCTTACACCTTTGTACACACTGCAACCGAGTACCATGAGTCTGATTTTATATCACACTGATTCTTCTGTATCAGCTGCTTACGTGACTGATGTTCCTGATGTTGCTGAGATTGAAAACAACTGAAACATGTCACTCCAAAAACAAGACAGTAGGATCTGTGATGTGTCTGTAGCTTATTAAATGTCAGGAAAATGTCTCAAATCAAATTTGAACCCTCATGTACTCATTTAACTCTTAAAGCAGCGGTAAACTCGGGCTCTCTCATCAGATCAACTTTCAAATCAGTCGTCTGTTTGGCAGGTGCCATCAGCCACCTCGATAAAAGATTTTTGCAACATAATAATCGTGGCCCAAAGAATCCATAATATTGATTTTTTTTCTTGCAATATCTACTAAAAGTGCTATCATGTTATTTGTCTTCTGTCTCCTGTTAACAAATAAATAGCCAGCATATGAGTTAACTTTGTATAAGATAGAAGATTATTCACAATATTGTTGTATGTGCAGTTTTATCATTAGTGTGTCGTGGCAAACCCATCTCCAGTCTGACATAATGAAGCATTTCAGAACCGATTATAAAAGAGGATTTTAGATCAACGCCATGAAAGCTGCTCTTCTGCTACTTGTGACAGACTCTTTAAAGCAACAATAGAAACACAAAGTGAAAATGTGACTTCAGCTTTTGTAGTGGATTTACCACCAGTGTGGGTTTCTGTTTATTAAATCTTTAAATATGCTTGTTTTGTCCAATCTAGGTTGCTAAAAACACTCCAGTTTTGATAGAAAATCGCAGGAAAGCTACAGAACTTTGAGGCTGGAAACAAGGAGGCAGTTTTGCATCTTTCATTTAGGATAATCAGAATTTTTGACAGTTGACTGTCTGCCTGCTGACAACAAAGTAATTGACGTTCAGCTCCAACATAAAATGTTGTAAGAATTGCTTGATAGTGATTTGAAAGTTTGCCTTGCTGCTGTCTTTTGAGTTGTCGGAGGACTGGGTTAGTCTTTTGTCACCATTAACCATACCCCCACCTCCACCGCGCTGCACACGATCACTGAAACCCAGAAATAAAGAAATGGTTTGTGGATTTAACTCAGTCGTGTTACGTCAAGTGGTTCCCTAAAATATCTAGAACTGTGTTTATTATATACGCTTTTGTAATTCCAGCTCAAATATTTTGGTAGTTATTCCACCTCGCTTACTGCTGCTTTTGTATTGTGCGTATATCTTCATTTAGTGGTTTAAAAACACCCTTGATTTCTAAATAATTTTAGTTAACCTTTAAAGCTCAGGGGTTGTAGACACAAAACACCGACTGCACGCATTTGGATTTGGATGATAACGCCATCTGTCAAATACCAGGCTGAACAATAACAGCAATCCTGGGAATATACTGATATTCTGCTCCCGTGTCACTTCCTTCCTTTACATCTCTCTTAGCCACCATTACTTTCCCACCTGAGGCTTTGCTTGCACTGATTCAGGGTGACAAACCGGTGCAGGCATCACTGTAAATGCATCCTGTCTGATTATGTATTTTTGTGTTATGCAGCGAACGTGACCTCCTTTCAAATGAATGGAATATTAAAAAGTAAACAGAACCTGCAGAGCCCGGATGGAGACGCCAGCAGGCAGCTGCTCCTCTCTGTTTTATCATTAGATATATTTATTTTTTTGAAATATAAATAAACAGAAAACCTGACAGAAGTCGCTCAAACAAAGAAAGCACACATGCTCGTGAACACAAAGGAAGCTTTTGAACTTTTTCTGTAGGTAGAGCCTTTTCTCGCAACATTAGAGAGGAACCCTGGCTTTCAATAATTTTAACACTATGAACTCGTATGGATAATTCACTCTGGCTGCTTTGATCTAGGCTGCCTCGCTTTAGTCTGTACTTGCTCTGTCGCCTCCTTCTGTATGTTTTGTATGTGGAACGTGTGCATCGGTGTGTGCGTGTGTTTGTGCAGGACATATAAAGGTAAATTGTAGAACACGTAGCAACTGTCTTTATTGAACACCAGCATTTTAGAAGGTAGGGATTTAACATATATATTGTTGAAAGCCTACAAGAAAAGTAATTTAAATATTTATATATATCTTTACAAATGTTCATGAGCGAGTCAGAGAGCTCGTGTCGGCTAAACTTGCGATCTGGGGAGTGTACAAAGATAGACATGCACAGGGAAGAGTAATGCTGGCAACTGCAAAGTCACCTTTTACAAAATGGCTGAGTTGGATCCTTCTCTCTCGCTTTCACTCTCTTTATCACATTCACACTCACACACAGCGCAGTGAAGCCCACCCCGGGCAGTGGCTTCCATCAGTGTCACGTCCAGAAACACTCTCTTCGTCTTTCATCCGCATGGTAAACATACAGGCTGTTATGGCACTGATTGTACGGTGTAAAAATGAAAAAAAAAAACATGTCTGCTTGGCATTGTTCAAGTGCTCATACAGGTGAAGGGGGTGTGGCTGTGTGAGTGTGTGTGTGTGGTGTTAAAGTCTGTCTGTATGTGTGCATCAGGGTTTGGGTCAAAGCTGCATTCAGTTTTCTGTTGTTGAGGATGTCTGGGAGATTCAATTATTTTATTTCAGTCAGATGGAAATTGCACAAAAAGCAAAACTGTAACTCGTGTGTTTGATATCTCTTATTGTTTAAATAAAAACACATTAAATGATTCTTCAGAGGGAAAAAAACAGCTCCAGGTTTTGTACTTTTGCAGAGTATCCACACCTGAATTAACTGGATTTAGATTACATCCCCACAAACCCTGAGTGTGTGTGTGTGTGTGTGTGTTAAATATGTATCCCCCCCAACCTGTCCTGGGAAACTGTGTTGTTTACCTCCTGTTTTGAGAATTAATAAATAAAGAAATAAAGTACTAGATGAGTCACAGCCATCTCCATGGCAAGGCTCCTCTTTGTCACGACACGCACACACGCACGCACATTTACACTGGATGCGTTGCTTTCGCTCACACATCAGGATGTCTTGCTTGGGACAGTTCAGTTAGTGTTACATGTCAACATAAGATAAATAAATAACAATAAATAGGAATTGTCCCAAAGAAGATACAGCAATGCATGGGAAATAACAGATCCCCTTTCAGAGTGCACGCGTTCACACACACTCACGCACGCACACTTCTAAATGCAGCGCTCCAAGGCACGGGGACCGGATGGGTGGGGGCTACTCAGTCTTTTCTGTTTTCCCGTCTTTGCTCTGGGGCTCGGCTGTTTTCCGGAGCTGCGTCTTTTCCGAGCTGTTGTTGATCTGTTGGTCGCCGGCTCCGCTCGTTTTCCCACTCGAGGTTTTGTCCAGGTAGTTGAGCATCTCGCTCAGCACTGTCTGGAAGGTGCTGAGAGCTGCACAGACCGCCGGCGTGCCAAACCCGTGAGTGATCAGACTGCATGGGAAGAGAGGGAAATGATTATTAGAGCAATGACAAACCAAAGAAGTGAAGGTTAAATGAATCAGTGGAGCTGTTGGGGAGTTTGTATGACACTAACAGCTGAAGTGACTCAGATTTTCTCACACCTGCGGTGAAACCTTCCTCCTGCATTATGGAGCTTCAAATCCTCTGAATGAAGTTTCTTTAGTCTGTCAGAAAAGCCTCTCTGTGATGCTCTGCAATGATCTGTTTCCACAGCAGTTTACTGGGAAACACAGAGTTTCTGCTCCTGTTTTAGCAAAGGCCTGAACGCTGTCCAGCTTAAACTATGAAATACAAATTAGAGCTTTGCCGATTAGGAATCTTTCACATAAGATTGTTGTTGTCGTTCTTGTCTAAGGTTATTCTAATCTTGGCTGTTGAACTGGTGGTGATGTCTTAATCAGATTCACTTTAGGCTTTTATCACTTTTGAAAGAGACTGTTTGAAAAAAAAAACATTAGACATACTGGCTAAAAGTCATATCATGTCCCCATATCTGTATTTGATATTTGTAGTGTAGTGATAGTCCTAGCCAACAGTGTTTTTGTAGTTTATTTGAGATAAACTCTCTTTTCAAAGTCAGTCATCAGAATCTGAACATTCGTGACATCACAAATTTAAAAGCGCTACAAAATTGCAGGATTATGGTACAAGGTAAAATATGCATTGAAACGCTTTTTAAGAATCAGTTTTTAAGTCTGATATCATTTCATCTGTCCTATCAGATCATCATGCCGGTTTGTCCAGAGCTAAATAGCTGCTCGTCCTTGAGCTCAGACCCTTAAGTTGGCAGAAGGATGTTGTTGTTCAATCTGTCACTTTATTTCTACCACTGAGCTCACATCCTGGTTCTCTGCCCAGCAGTCTACAGTACAGCTCCCTTCAGAGGTCTGATAAGATGTTGTATATTCTGCAAATGATGACGCCATAGATGTGACATTTCTGCTAACAAGGCGCTGTTTCCTCCTCCTCTGTCAATTGTGCCAAATATCAAACTGCACAGCTGCATCTTTCTAAAATGGCAGAGAGGTCAGTGGGAAAACACAGAGCGAGGCTCTGCAAGAAAACTGTCTTCGCTCAGTAGATTTAGTGCCGAGAGTGACTCAAGATTGGCAACATCCTTAAGGGGAAAAAAAGGAAACGCTCCATTATTTTCTTATGCGTGTCACACGTGTTACCTGAAGTGTGTGAGGTGTCTCTGGATGTCCAGGTCCAAGATTGGTGTTGGTCTGGATGAGCCCAGAGGAGAGCGATCTTGGCTCAATAAGTCCTGGAACTCCTTACAGATTTGCCTGACGGACAGAAGGAGGGACTGAGGGTTTACCATCTGTCTCCAACAAAACCATCACATTTTCTCCCTTTTCTGCACCCACCCTCATCATTTTGGATCCACCCACATGCAGATTTAAGTTACTTCCACTGGTTCATTGTTTTTCCTAACATGATACCAAAGATTCTGCACCACGCAGCATTTTCTGGTCTTGTCTTTTTGCATTTCAGTTAGCATTATAGCAACTCTTGGGCTGATTTTATTGGAACAAAATCAACTTATCTGGAAAAGAGTGGGAGTTTTATTTCCCCTTCAGCATATTCAGAATACAGTTTTATACTGTAAGAAGGAACTACAAATAAAGCTCTTGCAATTATATAAATATAAGCGCTAACCCATTAAATGTGGTAACACAATATTTTCCACATACAGTAGGTGTTCCATGCAGGAAACTGCTGTAAGGTGAAGGAGTTTACAACAGTTTGAGCAAGAAGTCACACCAAAACTTACCTACTGTTATTATTATATTTACTTGTTAATCATTTTTCTGAAAGATTTTCTTAAATCAAAGGATTGTAATGGCTGGTAATGGCTGTAAATAGGAATATAAGTGTTTAAGTAAAATTTATCTCTCCCTGACATTTGACAGGGACAGATCTGTCCATGCCTTAAACAACAGACAAACATTAACTGAAACCTGATCACTCAGAAACATTCACATTTCCAGAATTTCAAAATAAAACCTATTCTGTGTGACCACGCAGTAGCAAAAGTTTTTTGTTTCTTGCCATCTTCTTTTAGTGTGTGTCTGTACGTTGCATGTGTCTCACTCACTTTGTAGCCAGGACCATCTTCTTGCGCGCACTGGTTTCTTTCGGCTCACTGTGCTGCCTCGCCAAATGTTCACCCACTGCCTTACTGGGAAACTCTGTCTCACAGGTGTAGCCAAAGTCCCTCGCCAGGTGGAGCGCCTCACCTGAAAGAAAACAAAAGAGGGAAAAAAGACTGATGAGACAACAATTAAACTGTATTATGAAATTAATGTGGTGCAATATAAATTAAAATTACAAAAAAAAAATGTGCAGGAAAGTTACTTACCTTCCACCAGGGAGGTGAGCAGCGTTACGTTGGCGGCTTTCCTCCGTCCTGCTGGTAGGTTGAGCCCTAAACGGTCTAATTTCTCACGAAGACACCGGCCTCCATTCTTAGACTTTGCTCTGGAAACATATAGTAAAGAACTATGCATCACATATCCTACAAAGTCAAGCAACTGAATTATACAAGACCCCAAAAGACTGAATATATGGAGCACAGCAGCAGGAGCAGAAGCAGCATCGATCAGCCAGTCATTTTTCATAGAACTAAGGTACAATCAAATTAATGTGAACTCCTTGTTCTACTGAAAAGGATGTGCTTAATTAAGTCTCACAAGAAACAAGGCAAGAATATGGATTTGTGTTGATGTGACAAAGCCATAAGGTTAAGGCAGAGGCACAAAGCTTCCTCAGTCTTTTATGTTATTTTTTTAAAGCATATGTGCTTCCTTCCTCTGCCATAAAACTTTAAACCTGCAGTTCCACTCGAGACAACTTTCTGCACATTTCTGTTGTTCTTTGTGAAGTGATTATTATTAAATGACACAACATGATTAAACACATTCCAGATACTCATCTGTTAGAGATTTGCAGTTTATATTCTTCACACGAGGATCAACAGTAGCTATTTGCACATTTATCTTATTTTATTTTACTTTGTTGATTCCTCATCTTGTAGGACCAGCCATATTCTCTGTGCTTGCTCGTTCCGCTTTCCCCCTTCCCTTTCTCTCCACCTCATCAATAATACAGCGCTGGCAACTCTTGCTTTCCTCTGGTTCCTCTGATCCTGGCATGCTTTGGCCTGGTCTCGCCTCCCTCTGGCTCCCTGGGCATGGCGGCGCGTGCAGCCCCGGCCCTCATTCGCCTACAATAGTCTTTGTGGGCGCTGCTATATATCCTCTGTTTCATCTGAGGGCTACAAAGATTCAGCCAGCACTCTCCAATGCTCACCAGCCAGATTTACACTTAAAAAAATATATTTTTTCACTTTCAAAGTCCCCATCCATCACACTCACCTCCTTACTCCAATATCATTACATGCTGCTAGAATTTAACAGTGTGTGGATGCACCAAAGGAGACGTTAGGATTTTTCAGATGTTTTTACACCACAAGTATGTCAAAATGGGGTTTTTTTTGTTTTTTTTTAAATTGCTCTAATCTGCCAAATGAAGCCGTTAACAACCCTGCTACTGATTAAACACATTTGAAATTTGGGTTTCTCGCTCTCTGGAGATGATACTGATTAACCTGTAAAGTGATACTTCAGAACTAGATATCAGAATCTGATGAATGCCTGAAACTCATCAAGGCACTGGCCAGTGGTCACAGTGGATTTAGGATTTATTTGTGAGAGGATATTTTAGGCTTAGACTCTTAATGAGTTTGAAGTTCTTTAGAGCTGTAAGCAGCTCTGTCATAGCAGCATATAGATCCATAATGTTGCAGTAAGATGACACAGAAACTTCAGCCGCACTAAGCGAACTCTCAAAACAGTTGATAAGTCTGATTTGTCTTCAAACCGATACATCAATATACTCTCTTTAATCAGTGTAGTTATATTTAGAGACGCTGTGATGAAGCTTAGGCATGTTGTCAGACTAATATCCTGTATGTGCATCATACTGACCTACGCAGTATGCCGCCCAGTAAGGAAGCATTGAGGCACTCTGGCGGGGACAGTCTTCTTTTCACCTCAGCGATGGTGACTTTGTACTTTGAGGTGGAACTGAGCAGCGAAAGCCGACCCGGTACCGAGCAGAACAAATCTGTAGGATTCACCACACATGTTCCCCCTGCACACAGAGACAGGAAGCTTGTTACAACAAGGTGCAAGAAAAAGCAGCATCACTGTAAAGGTTTGAAAGGACTAGTTTGCCAAATTTAGGCTACTTTTTGCTATTCAGTGTTGTAAGAAGGTTGTACAAAATGTTCTAATGAAGGCAACAGCTTTGCATAATGCACATTTAATGCTTTATTCTGTCAAAACAGAAAAAACAAGCAAAATGCCCCCCCCCAAAACTGATCCAAGATCTGAATGCTACACCAATGTCTGTCACTGAACTGCAAGTTTTTATAGTCGTGTTAATAGTACATTACTGCTTAATAAAGTATCAATACAAGATTTGCTCTTTAAGTTCTGCAACAAAAATGTTAGTTTTTACAGTAATAATGCATCAAGTCATATTTCATCAAAAAGCAACAAGATACTTAAAAAATGCATTTATTAAAAATGAAGTTGGACCTTGGAAAAAAAAAATCTTGTTTCAGAAAACATATGAACATTTTGGTGACAGAAAAGAGTGCACAAAAGTATAGACCAGCAAGCATTCACTGAGTATTTGGATCAGCGTTGCTCAAATGACAGATTGAAATGTCTGCTTGGTTGGAAATCATGCAAATGTGTGTTTTTCTGTGGAAAAGTTTCACTGGATAAAGCTTTCGCTGAATGCTACCTCAGGGAGAACTGCACAGAATATTTTGCACCTTTGTTCATAGAGGGTGGTTTCAGCTGTGTACACACTTTGCATGAGGTCTCCTTGGTTCTGATTTCAAAGAATCCCACATTTCAAGATGTGATACAAAGAATAAAAACCAACTGGGTGAACTGTGCACACATCAAACAGGAACTCTATTGTCCAGTTATTGGTTAATAATAACAGTTTGCATCAGGGTGAATGATTTGGAAGGTCTTTCATATGATGATAAAACCATTTTGTTTGAGACAGTTTTTTCCCATCACGTCAGACATTAAATACATTAAAGATTAAGCCTATTTTTTCCATACAGTTTTTTAAAATTTATTCCCATAAATTAGCTGAATTTGCTTAGTCGTTATATTAAGAAGGTGTATCATCCAAGAAAATTGTGCATCTTCTACAGCTTCCCTATCTGTTTAAATTAAATCAAAAAATTAATCCCTATAATAATCGAGCATCTTCATTCTCCACAATCAATATGTGTCTTTCAGCCCTCCTCACTAGTTAAATATTAAATGCTTTTATTACTGTGTACATATATTTATATGCCTGCTTCAGCCCAATGGTTCTCTATGTAACAATAATATGGTGTTTCTGTAAGAGGGGGGAAACAAAACCTTCTTTAAATCATCCACCACCAGCTACCATGTTGATTTCATTGTGTACTTGAGGCTCCTGAAAGTGTGAATAAATGATTTTGGTTGTGTAGTGAAGGCCCTTTCACATTATTAATTGCGTCTGAATCAGTGTTACTGGATCCTCCTGGAATTTATCGACTGTTCTGAGTGGGCCTATCGTTATTAAACTTTCACTTGAAATAAAGTCCCAAGCAGCCGAAACGCAAGGTTTCTGTCTGATGTACTGTAGGCTATATTCTATTATTCATCTGCCTCATTATCAAATCTAACAGCAGGGTGTGTCGCGTTGTTATTAAGGCGTGCTGGATATGATGAAATGGAGAAAAAAGGATGCCATTTAGGCCGAAGAGAACAATGCTGCAGGCGAAGATTGGCTGCACACGCCAATCTCTCTCTCTCTTTTTTTAGGGCACAATTTGGCCACCAACTAAGCCTCATATATGACCAGCTGTAACCCATATTTCTGCTCTCAGAATCTATTATTCACAATCTGCTGAAATGTGCTAGATTCGCATCATTTTCTGGCCACAGGAAGGGTTGAGGTTAGACATGCAGCCTCAAAAACATGTCATCCGGTCTGAGCACCATGGACAGCGGCTCGCACCTTTCATTCCAGCACCTGGACAGCGACTCATGCCCACAGCACAACTGTAACATCATAATGGTGTGGAAACAAAAGCCTGTTGTACTCCAGCGGGCACCACTTTGTACAAGACTGTATGGGACCTGTGTTTCACTCAGGCTGTCAAAAAATGGACGGTTGCAGGTCGAGGGAATCGATTGATACTTTTGGTTAAGCCTGAGCCCCGGTGTGTGCGTGTGCGTGTGTTTATATGCGCGCGCGCGCGGTCCGGCTTGCCCGTGTCTCCATAAGTGACACAAACCGGGCAAACCTGTCTGTCAGACTCACGCGCTCTGACAGGGGCGCGCGTCTCTGAAAGCCGCGGGTTCACATCATATTAATTCCCCTAAAAATGTTTTGATTCAAAGTAGTTTGTATTTTATGTTGCCAAGGGCAATCGAAAAGAGCTATTGCCGGTAGTGCAGTCAGTGGAGCGCGCGGGCCCAGAGGCGATAACGGTATTTAAGCAACGGAGAGTAGCCTCGGGCTGCGGCGCGAGCGGCGGGCGGGATCACACGCGGAATCAAGCGCCTTTTACGAGTTTGCCACGAAAATTAAAGAAAAAGAGACAAGGGCCAAATGCCATTCTCCTCATATTTTAACAACAATGTTTATAGCTCCCCCCAAAAAAGCCCGCCAATGTCTTGACAGAAGAGAGGGTTGTGCGTGCACGGGATGTGGTAGCGGGGGCGCGCGTCTGACAGATCGGCTTGATCTGTGAAGCTGCTGTTAGAACTGAACTGGAAAAGGGATAGCAGGGTGATTAAAAACACAGACGACTCCTCCTAAGTAGGATCCGCATTTCTTGAGTGATTTTCTTTTGAAAAAGGTTATGTGAATATTCATGCCGCCAAAGCCGCAGTCAGAAAGAACAACATTAATATGATCTCGGCTGAATCCGGGGCCCCGCTCTGCATTAGCATATCAAAGCGTCCGCCCGAGGCGAGAGAAGCTATCGATACGGGAGCGGGAGGTAAAGCAAAGATTATTGGTTGTGATGGTTGCAGCGGCTGAGCTCAGGGCCAAATACGGCGCACCATTAACCGAAAGTGATAGCGAAGGGATTCCCGCGTCAATCCGAGAGAAAAGCCCCAACACCTAGGCAGAGCTGATGAAAAATTAAACCCGAGACACAGCCTTTCCTCTCAGTGTGGAAAATTGCACACAGTCCCCTCTAAAAAAAATTAAAGAAAGAAAAAGGCCGGGGAACACATCCACAGCTTCCCCTTGGAAAAGCTAACCTTAGCCGCCACACCTTTGGTTGCTGTGCCAGATTAAACACACAGGTGCTAACACATAAAAACAGCAGCTGCATTACAGACACACAAACCTGACTGCTCTTCTTTGTATCCCACAAAAACATTTACTTTAAAATTTTAAAAAAAGTCCACAAATGCAGCTGCGAAACTATTAAATACTAGGTTACTTTCTGGCCAAAAATATTTTCAAATTACTATAAACGTACACATTTGTAAACATTAAGAGGATACAGAATTGTGTTGTTAAATTAAACCCAAATCTTACTCATTTGTAACAATATTTCTCTATTGTAATAATATTGATTATTTAAATCTGCTTTCATATAGACGTCTGCGCCATTTTTCTTTAACAAAAATCGACACTGAATTTATGATAACTCAACCATGAATATTAAATTAATAGCATATAATATTATTATTACATGAAAACAAACGCACGCCGTCAGTCTTATAAAATATTACCCACACGTCTGACTTCAAAATAAAAGCTTCTGGCGTAACTTTAGTGTGAGAGGGCATGTGTCAAATGCGCGTTTAAGTACAAGGCCTATAAGTAACTGTATCAGTACACTAGAAATATAAGCCATCACATTAATTCGTGGCATTTTAATCATGTCGCCAATCTCAAAGCCAAGGTTTGGTATGACTGGTGTTTAAAAAAATGTGGGTGTTGAGTGACATGCTGGAAGTGGGGAGCACTGCCTCTGCGCCTGTACGGCGCTGCTGTTTAAATAGGTGACAAATCGGGGCCGTTCCTGCTGCAGCGTGTTGACAGCAGACAAGAGAGGAGTGTTCCGCCTGTTTGTCTGTCTGCTCGCTGTCTTGTCGTGTCGAGCCCGTGAGTGTTCACGGCCTCCGGTACAGCAGCAGCAGCAGCAACAATAACAACAACCGCAGCAGAGAATAAACGGGGGCCTTACCTCTCCGGATGACGCCCCCTTGGCCGTTCAGCACGAGCCCACACTGCGCTTCCACGGAGCCCTGCGGAGACACGCACTCATTAGGACGAGCGGGGAGGTGAAATCACTTTAACCAGATTCTTTTTGTACACCGCTGGAGCTTCCCAGCTGCCAGGCTTCAGATGCAGCAACAATTAGTGCGGTTTGTTTCTTTTTTTTCTCCGTATGCGGTGAAGTCATTCTTTAGGACATCCAGGACGTGAATCCCCATTTTCCCCTTCTTTTCACTTGCAGCCACACACTAAAAGCCAAACTCATGCAGTCACGGGAGTATATCAGAATAAATAAAACTGTGACAACAAACACTGGGCATATGTTGCTCGGTTTTATGTATATTCAAGATCCATATACAATACAAACAAAGAATACAAATCTAAGTGAAATGTCAGGTTTGAAAGTAACACCATAAAGCTTCTCTGTGCCCGTGCAGACATAGATCAGTGCCTCAATCCTATAATGGATAAAAATGATGCATTCTTGTAGTTTTAAATGACTCGCCCCTTTTAAATGAATTTTGAAGGTTTCCAGGTGTCTTTAATTCTTCCATATTAGGGCCCTGCAGATTTATCCTCTGACCTCTTTGGAATGCCGCGACCCACAGGTTGAAAACCACCACATCTATACAATTAAAACTCCTTCAAAGCACCGCAAAGTTCACAGCAGAAAGAGCTTGGGAGGGGAAAAAAGCACCTTACTGAGTCCAAACACTGGCCCCTGTTGCACGCCCTTTGAGCAGTTTTCTAGTGTTGGAAGCCTTTTTGTTAGAAAGTGTACATCACTTAGCAGGCTTTGAGTAAAATTGAGGGCACAGCGAAATAAAGCATGCAGCTCACGGCTTACCCAGAAACGAGCTTAATTTGAAAGGCTTCAGGCTATAACCGAGGACAGCACAACTCACGCAGACTCAAAAATGAGCAAAAGGTTTGCAGAATTTACTGCAGCCACCACCAACCTGTTGGGGCATCAGTGTCTGTGTACACATAAGCAACCAGGCTTCAACATATATGTAGGCCTACGTGCACGAAAACCTGTTACCTCCGCCATTTTTCAAGATGCAGATCAGACTCGCGTGCTATCAACAATGTCATCAAGAAAGGAGAACACGCGCTTTTTTATTCAGAAAATGCTTAATCCCCCCGCGTGAGCCTCTAGGCCTGGCCCACGCAGAAGCCCCCGATTAAAATTAACTGGGAAAGAGAGCTTGTTGTTGCTCCTTCTTAACCAGCTCCTGCTCTGTTTCTTTTCTTCTATTCCGAAGCTAAAGTGATTATAAAATCAATATACAAAACGCAGAGGTCTTGCATGAATTAGCTTAGTGACGGTAGAAAGGTGTGGCAGCTGCTTTTGTTGAGCATGAAAATCTCTTTAACCCGCTCAAAGATGCGACCGGGCTGCACGAGACCATAGGCGCATCTGTTCCGTCCATACATCCGCCTCGTGTAAGCTCAGGTTCACGAGCCGTTTCTTTCTTAGCGTAAAAAAAATGGTCAAACCTGTTAAGCCTTTAAAAAAAATCTCGAAATAAATCTAATATTTGCATTAACGAGCGTGCATAAAGTGAAATAAAATAAATAAAATAAAATATGAAAAATGTTACGCAAAAATATGTTGCAATTATCAGTAAATTAAAATGTATTAAATCCTATGTAGAAGTCTTTATTTAAAAAATATTTTTTTAAAAAACAGGCTGCACTATAAATGTATATCTATAAGCTCCTATTTGAAGACTTAGAATAATCCCTGGGTTATATTGCCACACCCCATATTATTTATTAACAAATATACATTTATACATCTATAAATATATTAAAAATATATAACATTTTATATTTTTATTCCTTAAAATTACATGCTTTATAAATATTGTAGCACTAAAAAAAAGCACTGTATGCCTAAATATACCTCGTAAATGCGTCGATAAAAGCTCGAGTAGAGGTGGTAAATAGCTAACGCGACTGAAATTATGTGCCACTGTGTTAAATTGTGTTTAACTAGAGCCGCGTTTGAAGCAGCTCAGATGTCGCTGCATAAGTAACAAAGTTGATTGACGTTAAGTCGGTAATTGGATAAACTACGGTGCTTTATGGTGCTCGAGCAGGCCATTGTGCCCTGAATCCCGATCCGTTAATCCGCCCTTTACCGGAGAATAGAGCAACCAGCGGCTTTTCTTTGCCTCAACAGACAGCCGGACACACACACACACACACTCGACCTCTCTCTCTCTCTTTCTCTCTCTCTGTCACACACACACACACACACACACACACGCTCAAGAACCGTGCGAATCCATTTTCATCTCGACCATTTCTTTACATCGAAAAGAATTATGTAAAATATGGGTCACGTGTGTTTGTGGAAAAATAAAGGGCGGATTTCACAATGGGATTGTATAGACTGCCAGTCAATTAACCTTTAGAAACAGGCTTGCTTTTCAGAGGCACTGTGCCGTGTGGACTTGACATTTACTTAGCCTGTTATAGTCACGTTTGCTTTGGCACCAAACTTATCTCAAGATGATATCCATTATGACTTACAAAAAAAAGAAAGAAAGAAAAAAAAGAAAGTAGGACAGAGTCGTTGGATGGGGATAACTACAGACCAGTGCAGCTTTGTGAGTGTCATAGACAACAGACAGATGAGGCAGACAGGCAGACAGACAGACATCTGGCGCTGTCTTTCTGTTCAATATTTTGGGATTGCTGTGCTACAAAAGGGGGGTAAAGTTTTTCAATAGTAGGCCAGTGGGGCAGAGATACTGGGGCACTGGGTCTTGTGACAACTAAGACGGGCTGTTGCCCTTCTGTATCCTATTGTCGGCTATCCTATATGGAGCAGACTTAATAAACCGGAGAAGCGAAGCCGAAGGAAGGGGGCACAATAACGTGTTCGAGCCGTGTGGAGAAGAGAGTGTAGAAAGAGAGGTATGGAGGCCACCGGTACCTGCAGGTCGTCCGCCGCAGGCGGAGGGAGGCCCAGGCCGGCGGCGGGCAGCAGCCTCTGGTCCGGGTGGTGCATACCGACGCCGTAGGCCTGTGAGCCGTGTGACGTCATCAGCGACAGGTCATGGCGCCGGTAAGCGTCGAGGCAGCCCAGCTCGCGCCGCTGCTGCTCGTCCAGGCACGAGGACTTGAGGGCCGAGCGCGCGTTGTGCAGATTGATGAAGTCGGCGGGCTCTCCGTGGTGGATCTGCTGGTAGTACTGGCCCGAGTGCAGCGAGTTCAGGCCGTAGGCCTCCGGGGCCACGGCCGGGTGGGAATGCTGGAACTCGTAGTGGAAGGACTGGTGGTGGAGGGGCGTGTACTGGTGGTTGGCCGAGAAATAGGGTGAGGCGAACTCCGTCCCCGCCGGTGCCGGGTAGGTGAGCGGGGAGGAGGAGGAGTAGGCGACCGAGGAGTTGGCCACGGACTCCAGGCAGCCGAGCTGCATGAGCCGGTAGCTGTTTGATCCGTCGTGACGTATCTACAAGATAATAAAGAGACGGGGAAATATATGAGCCGTGTCATTTAGCATCAGCCGGTGTCTCCTCTCTCTGCCTCCCAAACACACTCAAAAACACAACTCACACACTCAAAGCGCTTTTCCCCCCCACTTTAAACCACCTGAAGGAGATGTCATTTCCACACGCCCGGGAGGGGAACGAACGCGCGGCAACAGGAGCCATCGGTATTTTTTTTCTTCCTCCCTTTGGCATGCCTGTCACTCTCCTCGCAGCGTTTTAAAAGGCGTGCTGTTATATATTATTATTATTACCGAGCTGCTGGCAAATTTACTGTCCCAGCTCTCTCGCTCATTGTGGATGGGAGGTAAGCAGAGTGAGACACAGCGGAGTGTTCCGCCCTAAAATGTCCTAATCACGCCGTTACCGGCTCACACACACGAGCCCCCTTTGCTTCCACACACTAGTAATAAAAAAGCCTCGTTTTTACCGGGAGCTGCACCGATTCATTTCTCCTTCCATGCATACTTTTATCTCTTTAATATCCTTGCGATAAATTATATTCCACTTAGAGACTCCCTGCGAGCAGACGCTATCTCGAAATGCTTCTGTAACTCCCTTCAAACCAAACAGTACTTATTCCACCACACACCTGCTGTAATTTCACAAATTAAAATCTGTAAAGTAAATAAACGACCCTTACCTCTGCGTCGTGGACAAGTCCGGGGAAGGTCGCTGACATTGTGCTTTCTCCAAAGTAACCCGTATTTTTTTCCTCTCCTTTCTGGCCGGATCGAATAATAATAAAAATGCCTTAAAATCCCCAAAAAGCGAGAGAAATGGAAAAGTCCCCCCTCGCGTGCTCTCGGTAACGGTAGAAAGCTGGCGGAACGCGAGCGTCTCCCCTCTGCACGGACGGGGCTGGCTCACGGATTTTGTACTTGCAGGGTATTTCTCGGCTGATGTCGTAGGTCCCTTGGTAATATAGAAGTTTTGAAAATTAAGCATCAGCACTGAGGAATGGGAGGACAATAGACGGAGCGGAGCATCCCAGGAGACACGGAATAAATATTGTATCTTCGCCTTAATAAGGAACCAAGTGCTTCTTTCAACATTTTCTACGCTTTTTGTGGACATTTTCCTTTTTGACCCGTTTGTGTTTTCACGAGGTCTTCTGCTCGGTGTCTTCGGGTTATTATTATTATTATTATTTTTAATATTATTTTTTTTATCCACATTGGCTAAGTCATTTTACAAACAAAAATGTGCGGATTTTTCAACAGAAATGTAAGTTTGCTTTGACATATTTTAAAGCTATTTTTGATTTAAGAACGGAATGGACGTAGAAAAAAATATGAGATTTTCTTCTGTTCTTGCAGCAAACTTGTAATGAATTTAGCGAGCTTTAACAGGGGGGGATAATTATGAAACGGCAGGTTTTCGGCGCTTTCTGCATGCATCAAATGTTTTTAGATGAATTACCATCGTTTGCTGCTCTCATGCTGTTTTTATGGCACAATTTAAATGCGGGTTTCAGTGCAAATTTATTTCATGCACACAGAGAGAAATAAGCTCTCACAGACTTTATGAATGTATGCACCAATTTAAAATATTTTCCACTATTGCTAATTATCGCTTTATTTATTTACTTTCACGTGCTTAAGGACTGGATTAAATCGAAGGAGGAGGTCTAGTTATTATTATTATGATTGTCATTATTTACATTTATTTATTTTTTGTTTTGTTTTTGCTTTTGCATGAAAAACTGCCTTTGAAGGGTTTCATTCCCATTCCATATCTTTTCTTTTCTTTCTTTAGGGGGAAGGGGGGGTCTGCTTTGTGATAACAAACCAACGTTTTTCATATCTGATATTAGCACTGTATAAATGTTAGGTGTGTGCATGTACGTTATTATTATTATTATTATTATTATTATTATTATTATTATTATTATTATGTCTTTTTCGGTCAGTCGGTCAGCCTCGTGACCCCTCTCTCTCCCCCCCTCCCTCTTTCTCTTTCTGCCTTTCTCCTCGTGCTGTAACTCACCTGAGCAGGCGCCCTCGGGGTGGTCCTGCCCAGCTGCACGGAGCCGTGATGGTGTTGTAAAGTAAGATGGCAGAAGATGTTTTTTTTTCTTTTTTTTTGAAACAATTATATGAAAAGCTTAGGGGGGGGGGGGTCGACGCTGTAATCAGGTGAAAGCTTTTCTTTACCTTCTCTAATTTTAAAGCAGGTTGCACCTTTTATAGGATAGCAAAGCATAAAACAGTTACAGGTGTACAGAGCCGCATGAATCAAAAGCCAAGCTATAATGACTTTAAATATACAGAAAGACGCAATCTATAGCTGTCTTGCCCTTAGGCCAACCGGGAAGTAATAGACGTATAAGACTTTAAAAAAAAGGAGAGAGAGAGAGAGAGGGAGAGAGAGCAGAAGCCAAAGCTTGTGGCCACTGCCTGAAGAGGAGCAAAGAAGGAAATAAAGGAGAGAGGAGGGGAAAACTAAAGAAGGAGAGGAGAATTATTCTGTCTGTCAGATTTCCTGCCATTCAAAACAAACCAGCCAACACACAGGAAGAGGGGGGGCTGCAACCCACAGCAGACATAAGCCCTAATCAGTCTTGTTTTGGATGTTTTTTTTCTACTCAGCTGTAACTGTAACCAAAGCGACTCCCTGATATTATTAAAGTGCAGACAGTGACCGTGCAGACGCTGGGACGCCGAGATTGACTCTGCAGTTTAATTAAGCAACTATTTTTCCTCCCATCTGTTACTACATGCGTCTCCTTCTCTGTCGTAATCGGTAACAACAGCAGCAGCAACAACAACACCAATAATAATAATAATAATAATAATAATAATAATAATAATAATAATAATAATAATAATAATAATAATAATAATAATAATAATAATAATAATTTTAAATTAGTTCTTACAGATTTTTCTTCAAATTGTGTCTTTTCTCATATTGAAAATAGAGTCATCATATATGGTCACATGGTTAAAAAAAAAGAGGAAAAAAAAGTAAGAAAGGAAAACACACTGACAGAAAAACTAAAATATTCTACAAGAGCTTCCCTTTTTCCTTGATCAAGACTATTTAGCTTATACTCTTGTAGTCAAGTCTGAAAAGTCCTCATAAGAAACACAAACGGCCCGGGCGGAGACACGGGCGGTGCAGGGGCCGCCTTAAATAGCTCCTTTAAAAAGTTCTCAAGGCCTTTTATATTTTAATTAACCGATAGCGATTGTTTTGCCTCGAGGCTCGACGTGAAACCTCTGCACGACGAGATCGGTGAAGGCCGGTTGTCGCACGCCAGGTATTAAAAAACGAAAGAGACGGAGAGAGAAAGGGGTGGGGGGGCCGGGGGTGAGAGAGGAGGAGGAGGGGGGGGATGAATGGGAAGGCCACCGGGCAAAAAGAGATGGAGGGAGCAAGAGAGAGCCGTGGTGTCAATTAAAGTACCTTAAACGATGCTAAATTTGATCATGTGATCAGGATTTTCTGACGTTATCTTGTTACGGCCAGAACACAGCAACAAAAACTGACCCGAATTCAGTGACAAAATGCCCCCACGAGGGTACACACCTTTGATTTCATTTTTTTAAAGAAAGTGTGGAGGGGCAAGCTTGATCAAACTAAGGGAAGCAAATCGTGCTGACACATAGACCTTTACTAGAATGGCAACTTAACCTGTTTCCTCTTACATCGTTAGAAAAACTTGGATGACAAGACATAAATTTACCTGAAGGTGTAGGTCTGTGAATTTCAGTCAGCTGGCCTGATTCATTTTAGAAATGGCTTTAAGGCCAAACACATTCTTTACATTCAAATGGGCATCAGCTGAAGCGCTTGACCCTAAATCTCCACACTCCATTGGCCAGTATCCTAACAGATGACTGAGCCCATGGATCTGGTTTATTTTTTATTCCTGTCATGGTGAACGCTGTTGCCTGAACAGATATATGTGTATGCAGGTTGTGCAGCCACCGTCGTCTCCAACCCGAGGCACCAGTTGCACGGTAGACGGTCCTAATAGGACTTAATGCCGACGACTGGCCCCGCTTTACCGGGGGCTGGGAGCGCCCCACCAGATGCGCACTGATCTCCGGACAGGAGCCAGTCCATCTGCCGCCTGACGAGGCAGGGAAAGGCCCGAAACCCCGCACAGTACAGCCCAGAGGCGAGAATTTAGATCAGCCCCAAGGTTCCTGGATGGACCGCTGAGAGCAGAGGGCCATGTTGCCATATAAGACAGCATGGAGAGGCAGAAGATTAGGATTGAGCTCACAGGGCCACTGTAGAAATTTAAATTTTTCTAAAAGCAAAAGTCTCATGGAAATTTTTATGTCACTAACTGTTCCGGTGCAGCTTTAGATTTAAAACTAAACAAAAAAATCTAATCAAATAGCTAAATTTATCATATTGTATTTAACCTAAAATATAAATGTCATTATCTGCTCGTCCTTCTTTGATTTAGTATCAGATCTGATCGTTTTAAATGGGTTAATAGTAGGCCAACACTTATTCATAATAGATCACTATATAGCCTGCAGTCATTTAGTCCATTGCTGTCAGTGTAAGCAGTAATCCCTTTATAGGCTTTAACACTACTTTAAGTATATTGTGTCAGATTCTAATACTTGCAGCAAGCGATGATGCATTTCATCAGGATCCATGCTGAGTTTTAAAGGACCTGTGTTTGGACCACTTTTTACAAGCCACGCGTGACAAAAAAGAAGTAGTATTTAAACATCTAATGACGGGACACTCGCAAACTCGTGTAAACAGTCTGCTCTTGATTGAAAGACGGACTTTCAAAATTCACAATGCTGTCTGCTTGCAGTCTGTGCGCACATGTGCTGGCCTTGTTTGTGAGTCTGTTTGGTTTTTAATCAGCACCGGTTTGACACCGGCTTCATCTGGCTGTGAGCGTCCGTTAACTCGGTCCCTTTAGCTGTGTACATATGTGTGTGTGTGCGCCTGTTTGCACCTTTCCAGCTTAAGATAACCACTAATATAATGAACGCAACAATAACAAACGGCCCAGAAGATGTTTGTCCTCCGTCAACAGCAAAAGCAATTAAGAAAATTGTGTCTGACCTACATAAAGGATGCGCTTCGGAAGGAAGCACAGGTTAATATGCTAATATGGATCTGCTAATTGTGGGGATTTACTTGTCGGTTTGCGGAGGGGAGGGGCCGGGGCGTCACTGCCTTGTTTAAGCTTTTGAGATCTGCAGCAAATTAATTTCTCCCCATGCAGTGCGTGAGGTGAGCAGAGCAGAGGAGGCGAGACGCAGGTGGTCGCTGTTAAAAGGACAGTCCAGGAGAAACAGACCAGTATATAGTCTTGTCCAGCCTGGACGAAATTTACTCTAATTGCATGTATCTGCCTTAACAGCGATTTAAACAAATGTAATAGATAATAAAAGACATCCACACCCTGTCAAGTGCATATATCATAATTATTATCGCCCCAGGGTGACACCCTCAAACTTACCCCACCCACTCACACACATAGAGCCGCAGGACATTTGGGCTACTTTAAGGACACTACAGTTCTTCGGAAAATCCTAAACGCAGGAATTACGTGAGTTCTTCTGCCTACCTGTCATATAGCGATGTAAGCACGGCTTGTGTTGCCAGTTTGCGTGTTTAATTATTGTACTTTGTGACCGTAATTACTCCTGAAGTCAAATTAGAAGTTCAATTCAGGTCAGACACGTGTCAGCTGCTGCGAAAAACTAAAGAAAAGGACAATCTGCTGCCAACGGACAGTCACTCACCAACATATTGGATACATATAATCCTCAGACTTCTCTATTGCAATAATAATTATAAGAGATCACGGGCCGTTTTGTCTGCTGTGGCTAAAATCGAAAAG